ATTTATCTAAGGAAACTGTAAATATAAATTGAGCTCGTTCTGATCGTGGTTAGTTACAACATACACGGAAGTGACCTTGTGTTGTGTAGCGATGCGGGTCTAGCATGACGCTACGTCACCGCAAACTATTCAAGCGGTCCCATTGAAAATTATCTATTCCTGTCTAGTACGGTGTAAATATACGAACATTCATTTTAAAATTGGAACGCATACTGCCGAAAAGACTAAGGAAAACTGCGAGGACGCAGTATAGTATGCGTGGTGCCAAAAATTTTTATCTACACATGCTATAGCATCAATACGATACGATAACCTTTTTTGTTAGTGGTTAGTTCCCGCATGCGTTGGGAGATAATCCTTACTGTTAGTTACCGCGCATGGTACTCTTTTACTAAGTCCCTGCACGACGCGTGCGCATAAACCACATCATTTTTATTGGTCGTTAGCCCGTATACGGGGACTCCCCACACGGTATACAACAACCCTACTAATCAAACTGCGCCCTTAGTTTTCTAATCAAAAATTTTCTTTAGAGCTACTTATTTTTTGCATATACTCATCCTCTTTTCTATTCAGACCTGATTCATTGTTACGTATAGTAAAATAACGTTAAGTTCAATGTCAAGTTATTGTGCACGTCAGGTTAACTTTGCCGTGTGCTCTGTCATGTCTTGCGGTGTCTGTATACAGTGTCTGCGGTATTTGTATTCTGTGGGATACGAACAACAAAAAGGTTTTATATGATTAAAAAAACATACTAAGCAGCTTATGTGTTCTTCCAAAATATGTTCTATACCAAATTTCAACGAGATCCGTTCAGCCGTTCTATACATTCGCATTTATAACATTAATAAGAATACAAATATCATATCAATACGGAGGAGACTACCATTTTGACATAACATTTTGCGTCATGTAACGTGCCATTTTGACGTCTTCGTCTAACCTATAAAACGACAAAAAACAAAAAATATGGGAATATCATTTCAATTGTTGATTCAACGTTTACAATTATATTTTTTCTAATAAGAAGAATCATAGTGCAAACATTCAATATACCGAGCGTTGTCATCGAAACGCGATGCAAAGAGAATTACATGGCGGAGCTAAACAAAAACAAGAGTTCCCACGTGCGTAGAACAATGGTCGCGGAAAGTTGTGCGAACTGCGAACGCGACACTAGCGCCAAAGAAAGCCGAATTAACTATGCGTTTTACAAGTCACGCCTTTGAAATAACGAATTATTTTTCGTTTGATATAAAAATCGTAATTAACGGGTGATATTAAAGTGCAAGTGAGTTTTTTTATCGGCAGGTGTCCTCAATTTAATGTGTTGTAACATGATAAATTATGATTTCTTATGTTTTATATAATTTTAGAATTATCATTCAATTTACGATAAATCATTTCAGTAAAAACAATAGACCTAATATTTTGTATTTCGCTAAGTTTTCGGTCGTATAGTTTGATAGACGTTTGGCGCTAGAAAAGTGAAGCTACGAAAAGAAGGCATAAATCGGCTGATTGTCTTCTTCAGCAGATTGCCTCGTCTCAACCAAGCCGAAATGTGTTATTAAAAATGTAAAAAAGTCAGAATTATTACTTGCTTTTAAAACACCCAAAAAAAAGTTACTTGCTGTTCATAAAGTCATAGATAGCAAATCAAAAAAACTGGAAAACTTGCTAAATGAAATAAGAGACTGGTACAAAAAAAATGAATTCATTAAAAATACAGTTGCTTTGTTGAAAACAATTACAGCAGTTGCGACGAAAATTGAACAATGGATAATCTTGTAATAAAATAAGTCTTACCTCTATAATGGTTATTATTGTTTCACAAATATCTACCAGGTTGGTTTAAGTTTCGTTTATTATAAAATGTCTAAAGAGTCAATAAAATAACTCTTATTAGAATATAGAAAACTCGTCCGTATTAGCAGTGTAAAGTATAAAAAACTCTTAAATTGAGAAGTTGTCCTTTTTCAAAACTATGTACTTCTGTTAACAGCAGGTATTACGTCACTAGCTACTTACCACGAAACGTCAATTTTAGTAAAGCGAGACGCTTGTGACTCTGGATATGTTTATCTCGCTCTATCTTACGGTAAACTAATAGGCGAGACGGTCGCGGATCGCGATCCAACTGTGAACCGCGCAAAAACTTTGCGAGCGGAGAAATTTCCTTCATATTCCAGTTTTTGTTTCATGTAAATCGCTTTATAACGGAATATTCGCACCGCGATAATGTCGAGCGGAACAATGGTCTCTTATTTCTCGAATCTATCGGACTTTATCTTATTATCCGAATATGATTATTGCGAGCTGTCTTTCAATACTCTGCATATACTTATGCCCTGAGTTACAACTCACAAATGGTAATTCATTTTTATTTGAGCGAAATGACGAAGATTCAATTTGTAAAATGACAACACCTACGGTAATAATATGGACCGAAATGTCCGCACACTAAGGAAGTAATCACTACGTTTTACGTCCATAGAATCTTTGTCTTTGATAAATCTTATTGTGTTCTTTTATTGATACCTCCATGATACTCTGCTTATTTATGGGTCTCGCGACCCATTACTACCACTTTCTGTGTTATAGACAAACATAAGTATTTAGTGCATAGAATCTTGCAGTTTTATACGAACGAAGAAAATTTTGTAGTAGGTATACCAATTGGTATGCTGTTGTGGTTACATTATAGATCTTAGACGAGATGGATCATTGTAAATGTGCAATAAAAATAAACAGAGCTAAGTAATACGACGTGTTGAAAACGTGAAACGTGACATTCGCCTAATGCACCGAGTCATGGCCGTAAACCACTCTTGTTGCTAGGCTAGAAATAGTATGGTATGTACATTAAAACAACTCTTGCCAATTAACTAAACATTACAAATTGAACACAAATCGATAACTCAAAAGCATAGTATTAAAGAAATATCAAACATTAACTTTATACCGCGCGAATGAATGAGAAACACTTCAAAGTCTTTAAGTAGTATATAAAAGCAGGTAATTAGCATGCACTCTTTACTGTGTTGTAATATCTAATGACTTCCTTCACGAATGGCAATATCGCTCAGTGAGTGCACCTTATCTGACTTCCCAACTGGCATTGTTCTTGGTCGTGGGCAAGTAAAATCCATCGCATTCGCGTTCGATGCACGCACGTTTGCATTCACGCTCATCTTCTCCCGCGGTACCGAGCCGGGTGCCTGCCATGCCGTGCCGACTAGCGAGCCAGCGACGATGATAGCGGGATTAGCGGTCCTCCCTCGGCTCGCCTCGGCGTCTTTCGACTTTCCTCGCAACCCAACTCTAGATGTAAATATGTGAGCCCTGTGAGAGTGAACGAGACCTCCGCTCGGCCGCCCGCGAGTGCCATCGCTCGCGCCTCGATTCAATTCGCTCTGTTTCATCAGTCTGCTTCAGGCATTACGGTTAGCTGTACGTGTCGTTGTGTACTCGCTCTTATCCGACTTTTATTCGTGTCCTTACGAAAAAGTATCAGACTTTTAAGCCCATAAGTGGATCGAGCGCGTGGCCGCGATCGTTGTGACTGGATATATAGTGTTGTTAGTTGTTACAGTAAGAGTGGTGTGTGGCTCCTCGCGCTGTAGCCACTCCGTCCGGGGTTTGTCGGCGTTGTCCTCCGACACTCGAGGTAAATACCGACTCTTGCGCGTTTCGAGAGCGATCGCATACGTGGAAGAAAACCGGATTGCGGTGTCGTGTCGTGCTTTCATAAAATCTAATAGCTATTAAGACTAGGTGTTATGAAGTTGAAATAGCCCAGAATTGTAAGCCAGCGCTTGAGCGATATTTTTGTACCGTTAGTTAGCTGACGTTGCGTGTTCGGGATCTTCCGTCGTTTAATGTTTATTGCAGCATATAACAAGCAAGTAACATGAATATATACATATGTGCCCGCGTTACTTATTAGAAAACTCGTCCGTGTTAGCATTCCTCAATGCCATACTTATCTAGATAAAGCGTGCATTACGTACGCGGAAGTAGCGTGAAACTTTGTTGTTCCTTAATCATCTGACGTTGTACAATTGGTGGAGTAAGAAAAAACGTCAGATTTATTGTAAGTACCTTTAAAATTTAGCGATACCGTGTTTTAGGGATACGATGAACTCCGAATTACATTTATTTGAACCTAACAGTTATCATTAAAATTCGCTCGAGTGCGTCTTGGTGGGCGTGGCAAGTGTCCAAGTGCCTCAAGGCCCGTGGGACTGGTTTTTAAGTCGTGTACGGTGTGCACACTTGAGAAATTTCGACATTTACCTAACAGAGGATATACATTGTAAACCCTCTTGTAAAATATTGATGAATCAAAGATTGATAATAAGATGCTAGATAGCAGAAATGGAAGATAAAATTCGTTGCACTACCATCCCAATGAAAGGTTTTTAATTAAAATCTATTGGACTAAATAATCTACGAATATCTACCTATGTTGTCATTAGTTACAGCGATTCTGATTATCAAAATTGTTGAATCGCAAGCTAATTAATTTATTTTGAAATCTTTTTTGTTGCAATTAATTGATATGCCAATGTTATTTGTACAACCATAGTTACAGAGATGATAAGTATCTCTCGATAGAAATATCCTAAACGTCAATATTTATTATGTTGGTATGTATGACAAAAAATATATAGACTAGTAACTAAAGTTCAATTTGAATCTGGTCACACAGTGTAAAAGGATACGATCGATTTAATTTTATGCCATTTTACCAAGCTAGAATTTGAATCAACAACATTTACAGCTGGTGCTGGTACTGGTGGTAATTATGTAATATGTATATTTACACGTAGGTATACCTATTAGAATATGGTTTATAGCTTTCACAACATTTCATCTATATTTAGCGATGCGATGCGTGGTGTCGGTGACGGGCTAGCGGGACGCGGCGAGGGCGGGGTGCGGGGTTCACAAGTAGGTCGCCGTGCTAGTGTGTTGCGTTCGCGTTGTAGAGACGTAGAGACGTATCGTACCTGCGCTGGCGACTCTCTTGGCCTGAAAGTTTGGCAAAAGCAGAGATAACGGATAAATAAACATACTTTTTTACGATTTGTGCAAGTATTGAAGTTATAGTAAAGTGTTTCGGCGGATTTTAAATTTGTGTTATCTTCAGATTTTATGTGTGTTTACGTGAGTTTCGTGATAATTATAATTCTTTGGACTTAGTTGGCGCTGGCATTGGGTTCTGAAGTCAGCTGAAGGAAGCTTTCTCTTGCGGGTTGGCTTGTAAATATATTTTTTTATATAATAAATGAAATGATATGATACAATTAATATTTGACATTTGAGCGACACAAACAAAAGGAACATGTCGTGGATTCACTTAACTTCAGAATTTTAAAGTAATTAGCAACAAAATAGTTCGTTAATTATAACAATACCTCGGTAATGTATACTCTGTATGTTAATTATAAAAGAAACCTACGTGACCTAAAGCGCTGACTGTATTGAAGTGTGAATGATATTGTACAAAGCATCGGTGTGCATTTCGTCGATCCCCCACCGACTTTATATTTCGAAGAATCTCAGAATAAAAATCGGGTCAGACACCCAAAATGAATTAATGAGCGGAAGATTTTCTGAATCATTCTTGCATTACGATGTTATATTATTTCTTTGCGATTCTTTTAATTTCGGAACACAAACTTGCGTGGGAATACGATAAAAAGAAAATATTACAATGGTAACAACGTTGTTATTAAGTGATTTTGATTTTTGTAGCAGCACGAGGTTTTTAAGGCCCCTACCTCAATCACAATCATAGATTCGTAGATCCGTCGGTAGAGTGTGTTTTGAATGCATTCAATTTTGTTCTAAATATGTGAAACGAAGAAAGGGTGACAGTAGTGAATGACCGAAATATGGCGTGAAAGATAATTTCCCTCAGTCGGAGCGATGTCGTCAGCTGATAGCCGGGGTCGGTGGCCGCGACTTTGTCTCTACGCACTTATCATCCTGTGCGACGCGAGGTCGAAGGGTTATCGGACTAGTTTTTTAATCCTTTTAGTAATTCGATAAACTAAAATGGACGAATTGATAATTTTTTATCATAAAAAACGCATACATTTAGGTTTATCTACTCAAGCTGTAAGCAAGATGCGTATTATCCTCAATAAATATTTTGACTCGCGAAAAAGAGTGGAATTATAATAATAACAATGATTCCATTCCGCTAACTGAAATTGTATTTTTGTAATCTTCCGTCATGCATTTCTTATTAACAATAACATTATACATAAAGTTAATACGATTTATATTTTCTCAACGTCATTATCGTTGAATAATATTTTTCAATGTTGATCGGATAAATTTTGAATATATAAATCGCAAATGAAATAATAGAAAAGAGTTTTGTTAAAGTGGGCAATTACTGTTTAATCTCCCTTATCTATTTTATTTATTCCAGAAAGTATTTTTCTATATCCGTAAATTGGTACGATCTGACTGAATTAGATTCAAAATAAATCTATCAATTTGTTTGAATAAAAATAGGAAAAGAAAAACTATTCGGAACATAAAAGACATACAAAAATGTAATCGGTGAATGTCGTCGCCATATTTTATCAAGCAGGCAATGACCGCGTAGATTCAGCCACATGCACAAAGTCATACGTCGCGAGCTACTGTCACCTTCAATTTAATTATCTGTTCACGTATTTGGCGAAACAAATCGCTTCGATGTATGTATATTTAACACAATACATTTAAAAAGGCACGTTTTGATTTAATTCACTCAATGTATACATTGAAAAGTACTTATTTTAGAATATTAATGTTATTTGTTTTAAAGTGGACGTTGCTATGTTTGTATCCAAGTGAGCGAAAAATTATCTTACATCGAAACAGCTGTTTAAAAGTTTAATCTCATATTTGTCATTAAATTAGCAAATACACATAAATAAATAACTGTGTTTTTAAAAGAATAGGATATTCTTTATGTAATTGAACTATGTATTTATTATTTAGAAAAAAAGTATGCATTTCGATAATAAGCTTCAATTATAAACTTATTTACTGCAGAAAATCCTCAAAAAGTATGACATTTTATACCTACTTTAATAATTTTGTAATATAACACCTCGTCGCCAAGGTTACATCAAAGGCCAATAACCTGGGAACTTGATTGTGATCAATTAAAAAGCAATTGTGGATATATAGAAGGAAACTTTAGAACGTTGTCGCTTCATCCGCTATTGTCAAGTGACGTCACATCCTTGCCAATTTAACTACATGCTACAAGGTTAGATGTGCTGGTGTTGACGTAGTTTAAAGATTTGCGGGATTTCGTTCATACTTTTTCATGTTTATGGAATGATTCGAATAACGTGTAAAATTCATGCAATAACATAATTTAGGTAGTAAAATAAATAATTAATTAAATATAAAAGAAACTATAAATAATGTGAAATAACTTCTTTTTGTTCGACGAGCTATATTTCCAGTATAGCCTTGAAAATGTTGAATGTAGACTCAGACCGCACAACGATATCGATATTTTAATGTATTAAAACCATAGAGTAACATCGATTAAATGAATATCGATATTTGAGTAGGCTCTGAACGGCTCTACGGTTAACGGCCAAGATTACTATGATTATGTACATTGCTATGAATCTATCTTTATCTAATTTTCTACCTCAAGTACTGACAAAATCTTTCTAGATAAATAATCCTTATTGTTTCTATAGTCGGATGAACAGAAAAACAATTTATAGAAATGTCATACATATTTTGTTCGAAATAAACGGAATTCTTTAAATGGTTGGGGTTTTTGAGAGCGGAAAAGAGACTTTACAGTAGTTATAACAAGTTTCGAAATCTGTATGAAACACTAAGTGTTTGTGGGCCTGGTTTATGTTTTGCTAACTAATGTAATCTTTATTAACATTTAAACTAAATTTAAATTGGTATATTACGTCAACGCGGTAGAGAGTTTTGTTATGTCTACAGATTTCAACTCATAAATTATTAAACGATATTGTATTATTTATTGTTTTCTTTATGGTAATTATACTCTGCACGTGTATGTTCACTTTTGTTTATAACAATTATGTGTCATTTATTTTCGTATTCGTTCAGATAATTAATGTGGGTTTTCACTGGCAAGGCATTTGTTGTCTCTTTCTTATCAAAGAGAATGTGAGAAATGACAATAGGAGTCGATACAAGTGTAATTACAGTGGAAACCTACGAATTTACGTCTTGCATTGTGGAAATATTTATATTGACTACAGTGCCCAGATATGATTCACTTCTAGAAAGGTTGGTTCGGACTTGTGCATCTCAACGGGCCGTCCCATGTGGCGCTCTTTTTTGCTTTGATAAATATTTTTATGTGACTCAGCCTATACCGTAAATAGGATCGTCATACTAATTGTGATTCTCATATGTCCCAGTTCTCATTATGAACTCCGGACTTTCAATGCTACGAATATAAATAAATCTCACTTATCGATTTTCTTCATTGTTGTGCTTTTTTAATTACGATATATATATACTTATTTACTCTATTCTTATCAGGATAAGTACTCCGTAATATTTTATTTCAGTCACAAGTATAGCTTTTAAACTATACTCCTTCTTATGATCAGTCTGTCAGTCTATCGCAATGGACAGAACAGAACAAAGACTTTGTAAAAACTTTGTTAATCTTTGATTATTTAAAAACTGACAATATGATTACAATTACTTCATGAAGATCGCATGCTTAGAGCTTGACTCAGCAAGTAATAAACAGGAAATATAATAATAATCTTTATTTAATTTATTATAAATAGTTGATACCTCTTAGATTAATTCACTATTCAAGATAACGTTAAAGGTTATAAGGAAGTAGATTTAGTTGCTTAAAAACGTAATTATCCTCAAGTTTGTAAAGAGGCGAATTTAAGAACATTTCGTAACGGCTTCCGGATACGTCCAAGAGACCGGCCGACTGACCTCAATTGTTAGCCGCCAATGTCACTAGTACACAATTTGAATTTCGAATACATTTTAACTGGCAACAAATATTGACATTGAATTATATTTCGCCATTTTTACAATTCAGCAAAAAGAGATAAGTAATAAATAATTCCGCCATAATTGTTGGAATTTAGTAGTTAAATTATAGTGCTTGGAAAATCGAACAGCCAAAGAGCAACAAGATAGAGTATGCGCCTGAGGCAGGTTCATGAATTTTTGTATTTTTATTGAGGTCTTTACATTTAAATGTGATTTTACAACGTTAAAATAACAATATAAATAGAGAAATACATGTATATAACAAATCTAAATATTTACTTTATACCTTGTAAAACAAGTACATGCCGAGGAATTCGTATTGCGTAAACTTCGCATCATGCCGGTTCAGTCTGTGCGCATACTAAATAAAGAAACGAAAGTAATACCAAGCCACCAACTAAGTTACATATGTGGTAGTTATGTAGAGGTGTGGATTGCGCATTTAGATACACCGAATAAAACGGTATGCGATCGGCCACCGAGCCATCGTCCACTTTCACCGTCCGCCATCTTGGCAGCGGCCATGTCGTGCGCGCCGTTTTGCCGCGCTTATTGACGAATTGGCGTGCCTATTGTTGCGCCTCGGCATCGGAACGTGTGACGTCACTAGCTAAAGTCCAATCGCTACAAGACAATGTTAAACGATATTAGAAGCAAATAATTTGGTTAAATATAAACATCTATGGACGACAGAAAACAATTCATTATGTCTACAATATGCATGACTTGAGAATGTATTTAGTACTGACTATACATTAATTTAAACCCTTAGCGTTTCCACTGGCCGTAAGCCTGTACAGTATTTAAAAAGAATGACATGACATTTGCAAGTTTAGATTTTTCATACGTTTATCTTTTTATATAAATACAAACAGTGCATAATAAAGAAAAGGAAGCGAGTCGTACTCCAGTAAGCCTCTTCAATTAGCCGGCAGTCGTCTCGTTTACGTTCCTGCAAGGAAACTCCCGCAGAACATCGAAACTATCATCTTATTTTTCATAGCGCAATATTTATTTAAAACACATTATAATTATGTATCTTTATATAACTTTATATTGGTTTATTATATAACTTTTCAATTGTGCAATTATCCAATAATATTGAAATGACTATTTTTATAAAAAAACAATAAGAAAGTTTTCCATGACAAAAATAAAACGTTGACGTAATGCGTACTTAGAGATCTATTGAACAGTTATTGACTTGAAGAATTATTAAAAGCTTTCTCGGTATTAAAACAATTGGGGAACACTGGCAAAGTTTTTGTTACACAACGGAATTATTATCGGGTTAACTATAGGTAAACATTTTCCTTAAGAAATAAGTATACTTTTAAAGTTCTAAAAATAGTTGTGTGGATTTTTACGGCTTTCTGATTATTAAGATTATTTAAGTAAGTAGGTAGTAAGTTTCATTCACGTTATGTTGGTAATATTTAATGCTAATCTACATATCTCAATTAGCCTAAAGAAACGTATGTTTAATTTTTTGCTCTGTGGCATTGAAACAGAGTATAAAATAATATTATTTAGACGCGATGGAAAAAGGGTTAACTGTCATCATTACCTCCATTCAGTGCGCTTCGACTCCGCGCTGGTATTCATAAACTCTATACAAATGGGTTACGTTAATATTTCAACACTTTCATTACCGCGTGACGTCACTAGCCTACTATTTTCATTCGAGTGCACTTTGCACAGGTGCAGTCTGCTGTCTCCGGACATATTGATTAACATTGTCTAACCGACAAACACATTTTTTCGCGTTATTACAGCAAGTAGGTAATGCGTCTATATTTAGTGATATAGAATTGTGTTGAAATTTACAATCTATACAAAAATTAATCTATGACTGTTCTATTGTTTATGATAAAAGATTGTTTATGGTCTAGGATAAAAACGCCCAACACCCTGAAATTTTTATCATTATCACTTCTGCTTTTGCTCTGAGCTGTGCTAAGGATCGGACATATACCTCCATAGTGTTTATTATAAAAAGGATATTATATAAAAGTTTATTTAAATCCTTAACCGTTGTTTTTACTTTTTACCATAACTTCCTATAGATTGTTTGGACAAACATGACAAATTATTATAATTTTTAATTATACAGCTAGACAGATGCCCGATACTGCCTCTTAAAGTAACCTAAAAGTCTGCGACGATAAACAATACATGTTTTTATTTAAAATAAAACAATTTTGTGGTTCAATTATTTGTAGAATATTCCGCGATCAAGTCCAGTACATGAATACTAGTGGATCAATCAATAATCAAGACTAGAAATTAAGACAAGTTTAGCCACGCATGGCTGAAACCAATAATGAAAAGTTATGTGTGATTATTTGAGTGTTTTGAACTTTGTATGAAATAAGTAGTCGTCAACAAACACGTGGATTCAATTAAATTATACAATTATTATTTTTTGTTTCAGACAGTCAGCGGAAAGAGGTCACATTAAAAACATCGTACAAGTAAGTATCGATTACTTTTAATCAATTAGTGTAACTTGAGGACATCGGCCGACCTTCAAATTGTCTGAATATTCATCGCAATGTAATGAATACGCTCGCTTCAATTTTCTTGCTTTATTTGAATTTAAACAATATCAGTTGGAACGAGTTTCGCAACACAATGACATTTCTGTCGTCAAGTTTTTGAAACTAGCCTATTTATACTGACTTCAGGTCAATCCACACATTCGATTTATACTCGACCAGATTAAGTTTTTAACCGTTTAGGCTACAGAACATAAAACACATTTGAGTATTTTCGGTGGTAAAATTGGTAATTTTTTTCGTTCATTTTAAGTAGTAAAGATAAGAACGACATTTAGGTGTTTATTACAACGAATGAGCAATGTAAATATGTTTAACCATGATCTATTAAATAAGGAGGTCATGAGTTCGAAATATCAACGTTCCGCCTATCAGTCTCGTATACTTATTTTTAAATAGTTTATGTACTACATATTATTACTTTATTATTAAACAGTATTCAGAATTAAATTAAGAAACTCAATAAAATGTTGTACCTACATTATTTTATGTCCGTAAATGTATTAAACTTTATTTAAAAAGGTTGATGACACCTGTATTAAACCAATTGTCCTTAGTTTTTGAATCCAATAGGCTTACTTAAATATGTATAGATAATAAAAAGAACCTTATCGGTATATCGCAAAAGTTACGATTATCGCTTCCAATTCAAACTTGCCCTCAAATACGTTCCTAAAAGAAGTAAAGAAAAAAAAATGTAAACCGACGAATGATTCTCCGGAAATGTGTCTACAATAAAGTTATGACCTCGCTTTCAGGGAGGATTAAAAAAAACTGTTACAAAAGACTCAAATGCACGTGTCAGTGGGATCGACCCTTTTAACCAGGGGTTTCTAACCTGCGGCCCGTATTCATATTTTTTGTGAGACACCTTACCTTACCTTTACCTTTCCTACATAACCGATACGTAGATTTACGTATAATTACGATACGTAGATAAGATGGTAAATAAAAGTGGGTATTAGTGTTACATTAAATAAATATATAGACAAATTTATCAGTGACGTGTTGAGTCGTTCGTCTACGCTCTACGCCTACGTGTTAGAAGCCAGTGACACTTGCACTCACCTTGGTTTATTTTTTGCGTTGGCCGAACCACCTCTGTCGCCCGCTTGTGATATTGATTCGAGGAAATATCTATGTATACAAAAACATTATGATAAACTTAACTTTTAACTTGATACTGGCTCGTTTTTATACTTGTTAGGCATTATGAAGTTGCTTTCAGAGATCGTATCAGAAATAATGTATAGCACTGCAGTGCAGGTTTCGAGGAATGAGCACTTCACAAATTTCTTTTACTTCCTAGAAAGTAGCTTTTTATTTACTTAACATCAACCTTCTGACATGTCAAATTGTGTACAATACAACGAAATAATTCATCAACAATCATATTTCATAAACATTCACGAAATTCTTCAGAAAGCAAATAGACGATTCAACACAATGAATCACCAAGCGAAGCAACATTGTACAAAGCAGGTAAGCGGGGACATAAAATGGATTTTATAAAAACACGCCCCACCGATATGACGTCGCCATTAAATAATGAACTTGACCCAGTGGGTCGACTCCGCAGCGACACGACACTCTGCAGACGACCGAAATGTTCACTTGTCTCGCCCGACCTCCTTAACCCCCCCAGTTCTGCGAGACCGTTAACAAAACTTTTGTCATGAATTTACAATATTTACTTCGTGACGTTGCCGTCTAGAAATTTCGCACGCTAATCAATTCTATATAGGGTTTTCACCCCTCTAGTCTTTTCCCATTACCACCCACTCTAAAAGCCGTTTAATCGACTTTACAGGCGGTCGGTTAGCAAAAACGTCTCCGCTACACCGAATTCGATTCGCGGTGCAATACAATGAAGTTACGGTTCGCGCGAGCGGCGGCGGAGGGCGCGCGGCTGGCGCGGGGGCGCAGGTCGATGACGTCCCTCCGTCTGGGCCCCTCCGCCGCCCTCCACCGCCCTCCGCGGGACCGGTTGCCGGGCGAGTCATGTAGCTCACCGCCACCTCCATCTAGTTTACACCGAGGTACTGCACTCGGTTACTTGTCCATCGAACCTTCTCGTTACCTTATATTCTGCGCCTACATAAACTTTTGCATGTCGCTATAAGGACCACCCGCAGTCGTCGCCACCGTTAAATCGGAACAGAAATTGGGCCACGTATCTTACTTTACGTCGTTTCAACAAACGAGTCTACCTTATTAAACGCTCGAGGGACGAACAATTTAATCGATTCTCGTTTTAATTGCCCTAAACTCGAATCGATCGATAAACGATGTTAATTAACGAGTCTCGCGGTACATGTTTTGATGGCATCGAGAGATTCAAGCGGTTGTCAAAAAGCGCGTCGTCGTTCGCGTGGCGCAACGGCCGCTTTCGCAAAACGTTTCGTAACACAGCCGAGCCGAAAATAGTCGAAAGTTTCTTCATGATTTTTTTGTCCTCGTGTCCGCCAGTTATCTCGCACAAATGCTTTTTTCACGCTGTTTGTAATCAATTCGAACGAGCCGAGATGGTCACTTTGTAAATAAATCTACTCCACAAAGGAATTCCCTTTTCATCCCCGCTTTGATACAAATAACCAAAATTTTTGCTTTTTGTTTCCGTGTAAACTTCAATATTTATCAACATGTTTAATAAAAACTGAGGAATGAAGAAAAAGCACAGGAAATTAAAATATTAATATTTAATTTCAAGTACACACAATGTTTAGTAAAATTATTTGTTTACATTTTCCGCCGTCTACATGAAGACAACTCTTTATATTCATAACACGGCATTGTATTGAAATATTAAAGACAACTCTTCAGTCCCCGACTTGCATTACATAGAGTGCACTCAGGAGGAATGCACTTTACTTTCTCCCCTATCGCATAGGAAATAGCCGTTGCATCGTTTACTCGTACACTCAGTTGCAGCATGTAGACAAACTAAATTTTTAATCTGTTCCTCATTTAATATTAATTAAATAATATTTAATAATAAGCCGATGTATATGTAACTTCAACTTTGCATGACAACGACAGATCATAACAAACACAGCTTTTGATTTTTATTCGAACAAATGATTTCATTTGTTAAAGTAAAAATCTCTTCTTTACGATACATACAAATACTCAAGGAAAAATGCGATAAAAACCACAAACTGTCTTTAGTGGGAAACAAAAGGAAGTGTGTAAGTATTGTTGAATGTCCTTAAAATAAGGAAGTTAACGTAAATAGAATAATTAGTACGTAATAGGCTAGTAAATTAACTTATTTGAAGAAAAAACTGAGGAGATATTGCTGGCAAGGTCGGTGCGCAGCCTTGGCTTACGTAAGCGAGTCTGTATGTTTGTTCGATGCAATATCTGTTTAAGACTGAGGTTTATTAACACTTACGCATCAGTTCACTTGTTAGTATTATAATTTCACACGAGGGCAGAAAAGTGAGCTAGAGCAGTGGACAGTTCAGTTTGAGAGTACGCTTACTATTAAAACAGAAGCGATGTGTTCGTAACAGGTGCAATAATGTTACTCAGTCTTACTTTTCTGATCTCGTGTGAAACATGCATATTTCATGTTGTCTTTTGCGAAAACCAATGCAGTCTCTTGCAACATCTACTTTACAACTTGGATCCAATACGAATTTCAAATAGAGACCTTAATTATTTTGTCTTTAAGTGTAAAGTGTTTTAACATTGCAACTCACTTTTACAATATTGTAATGGTGTCTGGATTATTTATACAATTATAAATGAAATTTAATGCATTCTTTTAAATGTTACCAAAAACCCAGCAAAAGAGAATCATAATTAAACAAAACGATGTCATTGTACGATGTAAAAACGTGTCTCCAACGTCCGAGACAATGTTAAAACGTCCAAACATTCACTTTAAACTTGTACTGGAAATGTCCATAACTTGTTGTTTTTGTATTAACATCGTACTTTCAATTCAATTGGCGGGAAAAAATTCAGTGGAATAATTCACTACATTGTAAATAAATATTTTTTTAAAATTATAAATGGTTGATTACTGTCGGGACATATCAATAAAACTTGTTAATTAATTATACTTTTCTTGTGTAATTTTTTATATTTGTTAAGTAGCATAAAAGAATTTGTAAATCGCTTAGTGCCATTTCTATTTATTGCGGAACAATTAAACAAATGTTTTTTTTTTGAATAATACGTATCTATACTGATTTTATGCATATAAAGGAACACAAACTTAAATAACTTTACGAGGAAGTGTAATAAAAGCAGTCATGTCCCAGTCATCACTCCCGGAAAGATACATTGAGAGCTCCCTCTAACGGCCGTAAACGGTATCTTGTGTATTTCCGATCGCTGCCTCACTTAACCACGTTGCCTTGTCAATTTGCCTCCAACAAGCCATAGCGGATGGTGATATATTAATTGCTGTTGGAAGTAACAGCTGAGCCTTTTAAAAGTAATTTTTAACTGGAAAAAATGGACAAACAGACGTGGAATGTGCAAACATATGAGACGTGGAAGCCTATGCTCAAATAAAGCTGAAAATCTATTTAATTCACTTTAAAAACAAAGGCCACTAATAATGGCAAAAAAACAAAAACCACTTCATTAAAACAAGAAAATAAATCAAAAGAGGTCGTAACGTTCGCAAGGATATTGTGTGCGCAAATAGTTCCCCGTAGCGCCTCAAGTCGGCGCGGCGCATACACGGATGTGATCGAAGGGGTCAACGGTTCTCCTTGGTGGGGTGTTCACCTCGCCGACCTCTTGTTCGACAGTCCGTAGTCGACTTCGACACGACCACGTCACCAAAATAAAACCACTATGGATATCTGTCCTACAACGTCGCTGCTGACCACATTGATACAACTGATCACAAGAGTCTTATGACAATTGAAAAAAATCACGTGTGTCATAACACATTT